AAGTATCAGGCGGACGCAGGCCGCCAATATTCACTGTGATTCTAGCAGGATGTATAGTGTGTTTATCATTTGTGTTGTTTGGAATTTTGGGTCATTTGCTTGAGAATTAGATTTATTATAGGGGTCTATTTGCATTTTTTTTATTTTTTATAATTTTTCAATTGAGTACATTAGAAGTGATAATATAATAAAAGTTTATACATACACAATAATGCATAAATTGCACTATATTAATTTTTATATTTCAATATAAAATAATAGCTTAATATTTTTATACAAAAATATATAAAAAAATATATTTAATATAGTTTGGTTCTTATTTTGGTTATTTACTTCAGAAAAATTATATTTTACCGAAATACTCGATATATAATAATAATAATAATAATAATAATAATAATAATAATAATAATAATAATAATAATAATAATAATAATAATAATAATAAAAACAAAATATCAAGTTTCGTACTGAATTCATGTTCATTAGATCTCGTTCAATTTTGTGCAATCTGGTAGACATTTATGTGCAACTCGTATAACTATAATGTGCACTTGCGACTCATACAAAAAATATAGATAAAAATAATATTATTACTCATAAACAAATATATATACATAAAAAAATGGTAATAATTTTCATATAGTTCGGTATGTTCAATTATTTAATTTATTTAAAAAAGACTAAAAATCCGATATTTAACCAACTAGTATTATTCGATTATTCGGATAAACGTAATTATTTTTTGTGCTCGTAGCGTGTTATTTTATAAGGTGCGCCGTGTTGTGATATAAAGTGCACCATATTGTAGTATAAAGTGCAACATATTGATATATAAAATGCAAACCTAGAATTTCGGCACGTTAGCACGCTTGTGTTTTTTTTGTATATAAATGATGTCATGAATATTAAAGTATTATGTAGATCCGTTTTTTTCTAAATTTATGTTGTGAAATATTTTTTACATTAACTGTTAACATTAATTGCGTAGTGTAGTGTTAATGTGCAACATGTTGTTTTATAAAGTGCAATGTCTTGTCTTATAATGTGCAGCGTGTTGGTATATAAAGTGCGCTACTTTATGATCCATTATAAATTATTGTCTCCAAAAAACTAGTTTGAGTATTTATAATCATACATCAAATTATCCTTAATAGTTTAAATAAGTTATTATTTATTACTATAAAAGTAATTTATTATTTTAATATTTTTTATATATTAAAAATTGAGATATTAAAATTTTTTAAACATTTACACCTTATTTATAATTAATAAACATTTACAAGAGTATTGTTATAAATTAAACATTTGGTCATCATATTAATTAGAAAAATAACCAAAATTAATAAAATCGCTAGATTGTCCCTCAACACTATCTAATATATATATAAGAAAACTCTACCATAATTCAAATTTGTAAATTTATTAATATT